GAAGAAGTTAATTTCCACACTCAAGCTTTTAGGTAAAACCGAAAATTTTGCATTAATGCAAATTTCGTTTTTCATTTGTTTCAACTTTTCTTTTTTTCTCTTTATTAACCATTTCTCCCATCAGCTCCATTAAAGGCAATCCCCTGGGATTAAAACTGTCACAAGTGACACTGGAATCAGATCCATTAAAACACATGCACAAACACCTCCGTGGGTGGATAAGACACAGTATATCCTGCTAATGGTGCAAGTGCAAACCATCACTGCTATAAACTCTTTCACTTAACAGTCTTGCTGCAAGCACGCGACTTTCCTTTAAATGTCTGAATTGTGTTTATGGTGTTCACGAGTGCATTTAAGCCCGGTTTTACCTGGAGAGCGTGTGAAGGTCCTGGAGGTAGAACGTTCCCGAGACTTGTACGGGTATTTTAACGTTGTGTCCAGCTGCTTAAAACTCTCTTTCAGTGAGTGGCTCTGGTAGTATTCGACCAGCTCCTGGAAGGGACCAAGGGCACTTGGTTAGAGCTGTGGTGCTCTGCGTGCCAGCCGCTCAAGGAGGCTCAAAGGGGCTTCATACCAGAAGGCTTTCAAATTTTTTGGCTTCTGTGATGTGAATCCAGTTGTCCTTCTCCACCACCTTGATGTGCTTCACTTCCTCGTTAAACCTGCAAGGGGAAGCCAAGGCGGTCGGGAAGCTCTCGCCGTCGCGTGGCAGCGTTTTCCAGCTGCCAAACGCCAGCGTCCCCCGGGCACTCACTTAATGCTGATGGCAAAGCGCTCGGCCTCCGCCGGCCTCTCCCGAATCAAGTAGGTGCCGCTCACGTGGGACTTGAGCAGGTTGTCCGTCTGCTGCCGCTCCATGTTCCCTGCAAACCTAAGCCCACGCGCGCCATGAGACACCACGGAGCCAGGGATGCCCCTGCCCACAGCGCCCACATCGTAGAATTACAGAATCATAGAATGCTTAGGGTTGGAAGGGACCTCTAGAGATCATCTAGTCCACCCCCTGCACATGCAGGGTCACCTAGAGCACGTGGCACAGGACTGCGTCCAAGCGGGTTTGAAGATCTCCAGAGAAGGAGACTCCACAACCTCTCTGGGCAGCCTGTTCCAGGGCTCTGGCACCCTCACTGTTAAAAAATTTTTTCTTAAGTTCATGTGGAACTTTTGGTGCTTCACTTTGTGGCTGTTTCCTCTAGTTCTGTCAGTGGCCAACCAGTGAAAAGAGGCCGGCCCCATCCTCCTCACTGCCTCCCTTGAGGTACTTCTAGACACTGCTCAGGTCCCCTCTCAGCCTTCTCTTCTCCAGCTGAACAGGCCCAGCTCCCTCAGCCTCTCCTCATAGGGCAGATGTTCCAGGCCCCTGATCATCCTCGTAGCCCTGCACTGGACTCTCTCCAGCAGCTCCACATCCCTCTTGTGCTGTGAGGCCCAGACCTGGACACAATCCAGTGTGGAGACAATGTCTCCTCCAGCACAACCAGCAGCACGCTCTGCTCCCCATCCCTGAGGTTTTTGCCTATTTAGGGTGATGGCTCAGAAAGTAGCTTGCAGAGGGTCAAAGGGCTCTCGTGTCCAGCTTTCCACGGCAAGCTGGCACGTAAGGGCTCCTCGCATCTACGTGAATCCCACGGGAAGGAGAGCCGCTGGCTCCGCGGCGTGCTACCACCACAGTATGAACACTCATTGGGTGGCTTTCTTCATGGGCCGAGGCCTCCAGAATTGTGCACATGCACTTTGTTAATTAAAAAGTAACAAATATTTTAAAAACAGGCATATTCAGCAAAAAAATCCATCTTTTTTAAAAGGCAACATTGGGCCAGTGGAGAAGCAGGTCTCATCCAAAACTTTGTAACCCGGAATGGAAAGATGCACGAGAAGCTGTTTAGCCACCGGCTAGAGGATAAGGAATGATGGGGAGTGCAGCCTCTTGCCTCCAAGTCTCTTACGTTTCCAAGGCACCCAGAAAAACACTAATTGGAAGCGGTCACCATGTGAATAAGGCTTCAAAGATCGGGGAAAGGGGAGGATTTAAATGCCTTGCCAGTGAGATGGGGCCAAATATATGGGAGAGAAGAGTCTCCCGGGCCTCTGCTTTTGTCCAAACCCTCCTTGCTGCTGTCAGGGAAGAAATCCCCCCTATGCTGCAAGACCTGGAGGCAGCTCCTGAGCTGAGCCAAGGCAGCGGGTGGTCGGCCGCCTCAGCCCCACATCCCCCTCGGCTGCCATCCATCAGCAGGAGATGCAGCAGGGCCAGCATTCCCAAAGCGCTTCCTAATTCGCTATTACAGGCTGGATTTGTAACCACGTAATGAAATTAGAGGGCAAAAGATGACGCATCTTCACGTGCGGAGCCCAATCCGAGGGCGACTCACCAAGGATACGCCGTGTAGTCGATCTCTCGCGACGGAGGCCGGCTGTTGGGAGGCTGCAGCAAAGAGAACGTTGCTCATTACCGCGCAGCCCGGCGCCTAATTAGGTTATAGATCAGCTGTGAGAGGCTCCTCTCTACGGGAGGGTTTTTATGTGCCAAGCGGTTTCTGAGTTATTGGCTTCGGGGTTGGAGGACAGTGTTATAATCAAGTACTCTCTTCTCCTCCCTGTTCAAAACAGCTGTAAGCAGCATACTGCAATTTTTTTTTCATTTATCTGAGCCTTGTCCAGTCGGGAAGCAACTGAGCTTTACAAAGAACAGTTAAAAATACAGCTTTTCTGTACCGTGATGATTTCGAAGCGCTCTGCTAGCGAGTCAGCACCGCGCTCTTTGCAGAGGAGCAACCAGGATCTGGACCTGATCATGCCAGCCACGTGCTCATGGACAGGTATAAATGACTCCTCTTGGCCAGTATGACTGGAGCCGTTGATAAACGGAGCGTGGAAGCCACCAATAATCCCCAGAGAGGGCAGAAATATTGCATATTGTTTTAGTACCTGACTTCCACCCACTGCTTCAGTGAGAGTAAACCTCACAGAAAACCACAGAGCTTTTTATTTAATTAAATCAATGGGCAGCAGGATTTTGATTGACCATCGGTTGCTAAAATCTAAAAACAAAGTGGCCATGAAATCCCATCACGGTGGAACAGAACCGGGAAAGGCACCGTCAGAGGGGGCACCAGCAAGGTCCCCAGCCCTCTAGCAAGACCCAGCAGTAGAATTCCCAGTGCCAGGCAAACCTGGCATCATCAGGACTGGTTTTAAGCACTTACCCTTGCGTCAACAGGACAGGGTTTTACCGACGAGCTGGGAAAATAGCCTGACTTCTTCGTCTGCAGCAGCCTTCCCTGTAGAACAACAAAAATGGGCATCAGACCAGGATGTGTGTGGTAGAGAAGTGGCTCTGCCTTGCAGCTCCAGCGCACTGACCTAGCCAAGGCTCCACATGTCTCATGGATCCCATCATCTCCCCAAGAAGCCACCAAAGCCCCAGCACTCCCAAAATATCAGACAGCCAAGAGGGGACTGGGACCATCCAGAAGCCACTGGCCTAAGAACCATCCAGAAACCTCCTGCAGGGAGGTAGATGCTCTCACCTCCCACCACTGTGAGTCCGGGTCCCCCCTCAGCAGCTCGATCACGTCTCCGGTCTGGAACGTGAGCACCGGCTTCCCGGGAGGCGCGGGGTTGCCGTGATAGTTCTGCACTGCCACCATTTTAGGACCTGGAGGAGGAGGGAGACCAGTGAGATATCTAGTTCCCCTTAAGAGAAAAAGAAACCAAAAAATCCTCTCCTTTTCATGTAAATCACAGACCTAAGAGCCCCACAGGCGGGATTTGGGGCAGACGGGATTGGTGCCCATGAAATGCAGCCCTGGCTTCCGAAGCTGCCTGGATGACTGAGCTCAACAAGCAAAAAGGAATCGATGAAGAGCAGGGCCGAGCTGGAGCTCCAGATCCTGCACCTGAACTTTGCTGTTTCAGGCAGCCTCGTTAGGCAATTCCTGTTAGCCACCAAATCGCACCAGGCTCCAGAGAGCTGCCCCAGATTGCAAAAGGGACCAGCAAACACTCGGCTTCCATCAAATTTCAACAGACCCTGGGACTCAAGTGCCCCTTGGCCCCTGGAAGTTCACAGCCAAAGTTCAGTTGTCTTGCAAATGGCTGCACATTAAATAAGCTTTTCCAAATTGTACTAAAACCACAGTGTTTATCTCCCAAATGCTTCCCCACCTCTGCCTTCAGCTGCCTCCTCCCTGCCTAGGGAGAGCACTGGGCCCTTTCAGAGATTTTTTTTCTTTAACCACCAGTTTGATTTACGTTTCGTTTTTCCAGACTTGGCTTTCCTTCAGACAGAGGAGTCACACAAAAACAAATTGTTCCTTCTCCTCCAAGCCAGAGCCCGGGCAGGACAAGCCCAGCCGCCTGGCAAGGTTGCTTTGAAGCAGCTCTTTGCGCAGGAGACCTGCTCATATCTGCTGCCTTGGGAAGCAGAGGGATCCGACACCGCTGAATCCGGCCGCTGGCCCCGACTGGCACCAGCTAACACTCCATTCTGCTCTAAAAAGGAGCCTTCTCCACCCCTAGTGCTCAAGCTCCACTGACACCCTCAGCCAAATCAAGACACCATCTCCATTTGTGCAATGTTATGAAGCCCTTACCAGGTCCTGCACCCAGAGACTCCTGCAAAAAGAGAAAGAAAAAATTAGGTGAGGATGTGGCATCCTCGGGTCTCCGCACGCGTCCATGGGGAGCCAAAGGGATGAGAAATTGGCTCCTGTGGCCTCGCAGGCGGGGAGGACACCCAGGTCACATCTGAACCCAGCTCAGTGGCAGCCCCAAGGCCGGTGCCAGTGGCCCAGGCAGCAGAGAGCTCCCACCATGGCCACTGATCCCGGAGGAGGCAGGAAAAGGGTCATCACACAACATACCTGGTCTGCTGAAGAACCTGCAAGAGAAACAGCGAAACAAGCAGTTAAAACGAAAGGCAACGGACCCCATTTTCTGCTTGCCTAGACACTATTGGTGTTGATAAAATGTCATGGACACTTAAGCACCTTGAGCAAAGAGGCAAAAAGCAAGAGGCTGGGAGTCGCTCTGCCACCAGCACAAGTCACTGGAGAAGCGCTGTTGCTGGTAGATCTCTTGCTTTCAAATAACTAAGGTTTTTGTTGAAAAAAATATCAGCCAGCTGCAGTAAATACCCTTGTGGTTTGCCAGAGGGCTTGATGCATCCCATATAGGAAGTGGAGATCCTGTAGTGTCCTCCTGAATACATTGGTTTATCTCAGAAAGGTCCCACTCCAAAGTGCTACTGTTTGATTCTTCTTGTTCTTCTTACGTTTGAATTGTTTTAGGTATTCGTAACATTTGTCTTAAGCAGTATTTTGATATGTGGAAGGCACACAAAATCAAACTAAGTTATCTTGCCGTGTAATCCCCTGAATATCTATTGAGCAGGGTGAGGGTAGTGATTTGGAGATCTTCCAAACCCACTTGAATGTCACCCTGTGCGATGTGCTCTTGGTGTCCCTGCTTGTGCAGGGTGGTTGGACTAGATCTCTAGAGGTCCCTTCCAACCCCAACCATTCTGTGATTCTGTGTATTTATTGAAAACCTGACAGAACTTTTTAAAGAGAATCTTTCAGATCATTCACATGGATCTATCTCCCTGTCCTAAGCTGCTAAGGATTTCAAATAACTTACCAATCTTGCAGGGGGGGATGATTTCCAGGCATTCCTTATGAGCACCTGCTCCACATTTCGGGCAAAGATAGCCCTGGTAAAACGTCCCTCTGTGCAGAAGAGGAAATCTCAATCTCAGTCTCGGCTTTGAGATTTGCATGTTTTAGTAAGGCTTGGATGCAGAAAAGCTACAAAACTACCACTCACCTTAGGAACATCTTGCACGCTTTGCAGTTGGTAGTCTTCTCAAACGTGTACATCTGAAAGCTATGGTGATTGGCATTGGCTTTCTCTGGCTTTATGTTGGACCTAAGGGATAAGAGCACAGGGGTTATTAATTTGTCCCTCTGAGTCATTCAGGCCTGCAGACACTGCCCGCCTTTCAGTCGGGGTCTGGAAACCATGTGGACTGATAGGAAAGCAAGTGTGAAAAACAACGCAGGGCTCGACTGCGTGGAGAGGAGACTTTGCACATTCAGCTTCCTCTGATACAATATTCAGGTCAGCACGGGGCTCACCTCTATCCCGACCAGGACTGGTTCCCTGCAGCAAAACCCTTCGGGGAAAAATTTTACCTGGTGCTTCACCCATCCGTCCCCCACACCCCAGCAATTACCCCGGCTGTCGGTCCAAGCTTGCACCCCTTCATGCTTTGGTGCAAATACCCAGGTGGGTGATTTTGAGCTGGAAACAAACTCCCTAGTGCAGGGCCCCATCCTGGAGGTCCCAGCGAGCGCTGAGCTTGCAAGTCTTGCTCGCTCTTGTACTCTGCTCTGCCCAGAGCCCCCCGTGCTCGCTGGGTCACCACAGCCTGCGCGCTCACATTGCCATCTCAAACTGCTCCATCCACTTCCTCTTCATTTCTTCCGTCTTGCAGAAGAACTGGAAGCCCTGCTTTCCTTGGAGGTGGATCAGGTAGAAGCCGTACGACCACTGCAAGGGATAAGGAGAGAACCCATGGACCGCTGCGCCCTGAGGGCGTGACAACAAAACTCGTGGCACTTTTATTACCCATCTTTTATTACCCACTTTGAAATCCATCTTAACAGTGGGTTTCAGTGACTTCCCCCTTTTTTAGTTCTCAAGGGCTACTGAACCTTTATAAAGATAAACAGGAGGAAAAATACATCTATATTTCTATAGCACATGACAGCAAATGATGCATGGATCTGCTCGGTGCTGCACACCAGGGCCAAATGGGATTGTATGGTGGCAGATGAGAAAACCCAGGTTTTTCTGCTCCACTGGGTCCTCCCCAGCCTTTATATCCCTCCCTGACAGCAAGCAACAGCCCAGGAGGACCATCTGACCTGCCCGGTGCACATATGCTCTGGCTGTCACATCACAACACGGCACGGAAAAACAGGAGAGAAAACTGTGTGCTTTGCTTACCATTTTTCCATGGGACTAGAAAGCACAGGAGAGCAAAGTGGAAATATATTTCATTAAAACACACAAAGCAAGCAGCACTTCTGCAGCATCCAAGTGGCGAAATTGCTTGTTCCCACCCAAGCGACACTTATCCCGGCTGCACAACCCTCCTCGCAGGGCACGGAGCAGACGGAGCTGTTCAGCTAATATTAACTCGCTGCCGGGAGGCCGGGCCTCCCTCCGGGCCGCGTCGCTCCGAGCGCTGCCTTTGGCAGCCGCTCCCAGCGCCTTTCCCGGCTCCTCCGCCCGCCCTGCGCCTCTCGGGAGCGTCTGGACACGGCTCCCTCGTCTCGGCCCCGCCGGCCGGGCACGGAGCGGGGAGCAGCTTCCGCCCGCTGACTCAAATCATTCCAGCTCCTTGACGGCTGTTTTGCAAGGACGGAGGTCAGAGGACCAAGCCCAGCCTCGCATCAATAAACATTTCCCAACTCCCTGAAAGGCTGCCCTGAAATCTGAGCCTTTTTTTTTCCTTTTTTCCAGCTTTTTGCAAGCCCTATTTCAGCTTTAAAAGGCCAATGGGGACAAGCAACCCAAGGACTACCCTCAAACAGCTCCAACATGCTCTCCAGCAGAGCTAGAGCTGCCCCCCATCCACCTACCTTTTTAATGTCCTTGTTGTTCATAGGGTCGTCTGTCATCTTGTGGAAGAGCAGCTCAATAATTTCTTTCAGCTCATAATTGTACCCTTTCCTTTTGCAAACGATCACCACTTTATCAAACAAAAATAAATACCTGCCCAAAGCAAAGAGCAGTTCAGTTAAATGTCCAAGTTAACCTGTCAGGGGCAGTAATTGGAGAGCTCTACACATCATCTTGCCCAGGCAGCACAGTTAAATGCTCTAACTGTGCTATAATTCTATGGTGCTTTCTGTCAATGCAAGTTTAATAAGCAAATGCATGAGCACAAAATGTCTGGAGATGTGAAGCCACGTGCTGGCTTCAATAATTCCAGTGGTATTAACTCTGCCCATAGGCCACCAAGTGGATACTCCAGTGGGGACAAGGTGCATCACCAAAGAAAGGGCATGTTTTCATAGAATCATAGAATCACAGAATGGTTAAGGTTGGAAGGGACCTCTAGAGATCATCTAGTCCAACCCCCTGCACACGCAGGGTCACCTAGAGCACGTGGCACAGGACTGC